TCGCTTGTATGAATGCACATTCTCTATACGTTACATTTACACATCAGCTCAGGTAAATTCTGTAAGAACGGGCGGTGTGCACCGTCCAACTTCTAATGCATGTATCCACGTGTTTGACTGGGTGCGATATATTCATAGAATAAATGCGTATTGTACGAATGCATACTTTATAAGTACCCAGGTCATTCTTGCAAATAAGGCTCAGCCTACATGGTTAAACAAACTAAACGTGAAACTTGAAACTCTATACTTAAAATGATTGTATACATGTCATTACGCATTCGTTGTGTATGTGTGAATCGACACCCTGGACACCTTTGCAGACAAGATATTCCATCTCATGAACATTTCCATGTGAAATACTGGAATTTAAAGAATTATGATGATCGATTCGTGCATTCATCGTTACGCAGAGTGCAGCTCCCCGCGTCCGCGTAATGCAACGCCGAGTTCGTCGCGAGTCTGAGTCTAACATTGGATCACAGCTTAATGTTAGCGTATCTTTTACATATGGCATCGTTTTATTTTATACGACATTAATGGGGTGTATAGTTTTTGTACAGTGTCATTAACTGTTCTACGAATAATATATAATATACAGGACAACCATTCGCCGATCCACTGCTTGACGAAACCCTTCGCGCCCCGTGTCAGCGAAGGGGATTTAAGCAAACACCACGCGGGCCACGGGGCGTATTGGCAGGGATCAGCTGCGTGAAACAACTTGAATACAGCATTCCCTTCGCTCCTATTTAATTCACTTCGATATGTAATGAAGAGATATATTACATTTCGATTTAAAGCTTTCGTGACTGCAAGGATTCATTCTCTTGGTTCTTTCGGTAAAGTCACGAAGAAGGGAAGTAATAAAATAATAAAAATAAAACATAATAAAATAATTCTCACGACGTTTCGGCCACAACGCAAGCAGCCGTCCTCAGGTGAAGAATGAAAATATACGCTCCAAGAATGAAACACCACCAAGCTTGGAGCGTATACTTTCATTCTTCACCTGAGGACGGCTGCTTGCGTTGTGGCCAAAACGTCGTGAGAATTATTTTATTATGTTTTATTTTTATTATTTTATTACTTCCCTTCTACGTGATGACTTTACCGAAAGAACCAAGAAGAGATATATTACCTGAGCTGCTGTTTTTTGCAACTGGCCACAGAAACGATTCAGATGATCGCTCATCGCTGATGTCATCCGTGGCTGGGAATTGAACGCATGTAGCCCGGTTAATTGTGCAGTGACAAAACCACTGCGCCACCGCTCGCCCTGTCATTTGGCCAGAGGGTAGAGTTCAGATGCGGTATCGTTTTTGTATCGTATTGGACTTGTACATCATAGTGGTTTAGATGTTTACATTGTACAGTATAGTTTTTTTTATTGAATTTTAATGTACTTATTTCTGCACATGGTAAATATAAGTCAAGTAATCAATTACAATGTTTATTATTAATAAGCAAAAAAAATATAATTTGATTTATTTCACAATTTACGTTTTAATAAAATAAAATAAAATAAAATATAAAAAGTGAAAACAACTAAATTAAAGCAGGTGATTTAATTTAGTTGTTTTCACTTTTTATTTTCACCTACATGACTTTACCGAAAGAACCAAAGAGCATGGATCCTTGCAGTCACGAAAACTTCTAATCTAGAATTTAAGTTTTCATCACTTTTTAAAGAAAATCGAATATTACGTTTTCTGAAATTCGATAAAGCTTTATCTTTATTTTAAGAAATGTTTATCTCATGTATTTGAATAGTTTTGAATTGGAATATTCATTTAATGAATACCATTTTTATTTTTACAAATTGAATAGAATCATCTTTATTCTATTATTTTAATAATGTTATAATAACAGTACAGGTTGTGCAGTACACGACTACACAGGAGATCCTTGAATATTGCAAGGGGTAAATAAATAAAAATGCTGCGAAAGTCAAAACCATGATATTCAATACTTAAGCCTTAGCTAAATAATGGGGTTAGGTCCACGGCAACAAAAAATAGACACCACAATTGAAATACGTATTGTATGCCAAATAAACTAAAAACAGAATTTAAATAAACGTGTAAAACCCCTATCACAGAAATATCCCCACATAATAAATAACGACGATGATGATCCTAAGCGGCTGTGTGTGTGTTTGCCGGGAGTGGGCAGCGGCATTGCAACGGTTAGGGGGCCATCCAATCCTATAGAACGGCCGATATTTAATCCACGCAGAAACGATCAAGGATTCATCATATTCACGTGTTTAAGCAAACAAATAGTCCACCGCCGGCTGCATTAAATAATTAAGTTGCGTACCTTGGCCACTTTTTTTGCCGAGCTGCGTGATAGCTGCAGTCAGGGGCACGGTGGCACACAAGTGACACCTCTCCCACAGTCCCACTTCTCCGGGTCGTAATTGTCTGACAGCTAAATAATCTGAACTGTGGCTCATTTGAAGGCCAATGTAGACAAATTATTATCAAAGCTTCACCCCCCCCCCGTTTCCTATGCGTACGTGCATTGTCAGTAGACCCCCCCCCCCATACGCAAGCGAACGCATTTGGGTTAACCCACCCCTCCCCCCTCCATGCGTACGTACTAAATGGATGGCCCCTAACGCCCTGCGCTACGAAATCGGCGACCCGAGTTCGATTTCTACTCATGCCCGACACCAGTGACTATCTGAATCGGCCCTGGGCCTCCCTAGGTAGATTCAGCCTCAAATTAGTACCTGGTGCGATATGTAAACATCGCCACAGGGGAGACAATGGCGGGCGGGCGTGGTGCTGTCCATCCACCCGTCCGTGTGACGTGCCGGCCTTCATAGGTGCTCGCCAATAGCACTTGCCCCAACAGTCTGTTAAGGCTACACGGGGGTTATTTTCCTTTGTCCGCGAAAGGCTTGCACAGCACAGTTTGAGGTGCCACTGGCTGCCTCGCGTCCCTCGCCAAAGGTATCAGCCAATGGCACGGAACTTCCAGCTAAAGTTTACCCGCAAAAGGCCAAAACGAACCCCCGTGGAAGATACACTGGTTTACGACGTATCCCGCGACAGGTCGAACCCACGAACGAAAAATCCGCGATATTCAAGGGTCTTCTGCACTGTACTACTTATCTATGAATCTCTAACTTAGCACATTGAAGGCGTTCATAAGGAGGGCCCTGCGTTGGCGTTTTGGTTAATTGTTGGTACAAAGTAGAGAGGGCACTGACGTCTCTACGCGAAGCCACTGCGTACGCGGCAAGCCTCGCGCTCAAAGGGCCGCCGTGCAGATGGCTTGACGAGCCCACTCGACTTGCTACGACTTGTCGTCTCCTCGCTATCCTGACAGCCAGAAGACTGAAGTTCCTTCGTGGTCTAGAAAAGCTTCGGGGGGTCGTAATGCAGCAGTAGTTTGGTCATGGCTGACGACGACCATGCTGTTACATATAACACGCGGAGCGTTTCCAGTGAATGAAAGCGAAAATGTATTTTTAAAAAATAATCCACTTTAAAAAGTATCGTTTGTGAATACTATACGTCCTCCTTGATCATTCCGAGTTAATAACGATACGCCCCGACTTCCCCTGCACTCTCATACCAGCGCAGTTGACCTTTCGTTCCACCAAAGTTAAAGATCGGTTGTGTTATGAGATGATGACATCATACACCACCATAATTATGGACTAGTTCGTGGCTCACTTTTCTCTCAACGAACACATTACTTTAACTTTTGCCTTTACGATCATGAAAACACGGCTCCGCTGGGTGGGTTGTGTCGTGCGACCAAGGGGAAGGAAGACCTAAGAGCAGATGATGCGAGACTGTCAGAGCAGATCTTGGAGGTCGCTGCATGTGCAACGGTGGCGGGATCCGGCAGAGGGGAGAAGCATGGCGAGTGAGTTGTGGTGGTGGCTTCAACGGCTATGGCCATGATTCCATCTTGATCTATCATTCAAAACCACCCTTTTAATTTGTTTCTGTAACTCTGACCGAATCAATGGGACTGTGTTGGAACGTTGCGTTTTCATAGTCCCACTGAGAGGGCGTCCACCACCCTTGTGTTTTCAAGTCAACCAGAACCCGGATACATCCCTCTCAAAACTACTGCACCTGCCAACCATTCACTCAATTGCGAGACTCCCGAAACACTCTGACACCGCCATGACTGCGCATACGTGAGGATGTGTTTGTGACTCAGCCTCAAAAGAGTACTTTGTGTGGTGTGTAAACGTTGCCACGGGGGAGACAAAGGCGGTTGGGCGTGGTGTTGGCCACCTACCCCCTCGTGTGCCGTTGCCGGTCTTCATAGGTGATCGCTAACAGCACTTTTCCCAAAAGGCTGTTAAGGCTATACGGGGGTCTTTGTTTTCTGATTCTGCATGGAAGTGTGGGATGGGCTAGAGTCGGTACACGCGTGTGCCCGTCTGTAATCGTGCAGGTTATACCATAGTCACTAAGCGCTCAGTGCCATCACCTGGCAGTCATGCACATTGGCCCAGGTTTCAGCAACATCTTCAGATCAGCATTAACGCAAGAGCGAGGATTTGATTCTGTTCTCTTTCTGGTGGTGATGACTATTACACATTGCAATCTGAAACTCGTGTCCCAGATAATGGCTAGGTCACGAGGTCCCAATCTCCCTTGTACAATGTCCATTGACTCATCCCCTTAAACATCAGCCATCGTCAATCCAATGCTGGATTAGGGCCTCCCCAAGCCACTTTCAGTTCGCACGAGCTTTAACAATTCATCCAGAATCCGAATCTTTAAGCTGGAGGGATCCGACGAGCGATGGAACTCTTTTGACGAGGACTGATTTCGTCAATCCATTTCCCTGGTGGACGTGATCAGATGCGTCTCATTGCTGTTATTATTCTTGACCATGGTCCGTATATCATCCCTTTTAGCCATGACGTGTAATGCCCAAGCTCACTTTTCTTAACTGTGTGTATGTTGTCATGCTGTGTGATTTGTGATGCACATGGACACACACTCTCACCACACCTTCAGCTTACGGGTCTGCAGAGGCTGGAGAGGTAGGAGCTCACAAAGAGGACACAATTCTGGCTCCTAAGGACTTGTACCAGCGCAGAAACTCCGCCGCCCCCTGCAGTGACCAGGAGCTGGAGCGCATCGCGTGCGCCTTGGAGACCAAGGAGCTGTGGGACAAGTTCCATGAGCTGGGCACCGAGATGATCATCACCAAGTCTGGCAGGTGAAACACGAATGTTTGCCATTTAGCAAAAACAGGCAGATAAGTAGTTTATATTCTGTATGTTAAGTGTATACAAACTTAATTATATATGAACATAGAGAAATATCGTCAGCCATGATCTATCCACTGCTGGGTGAAGGCCTTGCCACGTTGTTGCCTTCCTTCGCGATCACCTTCTAGACACAACCTCATGGGGCCTCTAACCTTAATCATAACTTTACCCAGTAGGGCTTACTAACCATCGTCTTTTAAGATATTTAACTGGAATTGTCACACTATTCTATGCATAACCCCAAACTGCTTCCTAGCCAAGGACTCAAGATAAATCACCGATTGTTCACTATTGCATCCGCCAGTCCCTGTAGTGACAGATTGTCTCTAGGGCCCACGCGCTTGTTCTGTGGTGCCGTGGCAGGCGCATGTTCCCGACGATCCGCGTGTCACTGAGCGGGGTGGAGCCGGACGCGCGCTACATCGTGCTCATGGACATCATACCGGTGGACCACAAGCGCTACCGCTATGCCTACCACCGCTCTTGCTGGCTCGTCGCAGGAAAAGCAGACCCGCCTCTGCCTTCTAGGTGCATACAGATAGCTCAGTGCCTCTCCCTCGAGTGCACGTGCCTGCTGAAGTCAGCAGCTGGGGAATCGCGTGAGACATGAAACGTTAACAACTCAACACTGCACAGTTACATTTACGAGAAGGAATTCCAATCAATGAATCAGTTTTAGGTCAAAGTCGAAGTCTTTTCTGGCTCAAATGAGTATCGAGGCGGTGCTCATCTCCTGTCGACAGTCCTAAGCCAGTGGAAGGAATTCCACCTTCCTATGGTATCCATAGGACAACCATTGTTGACTTCCCCACAAACCAACCAGGACGTAAACTTGGAGCCTTGTGACTGTGAGCAGCTCCGCCTGGCCAGTTAGCAACAAGACAAACTACCAATTAAATGGTGTTGAATCTTTAACGTGTGAAGTCCCTTGACCTCACTGCTGCAGTACCAGCTGATAACCCTCGATTTAAACTATGTTATAATGCATATCCTTGCCGTGCGTAGGTATGTTCCACACATCTACGCCAGTATCTTTAAAGTGTTATACGAATATTACCGTCATGGTCGTTTAATCGTAAATCAAAAAAAATGCTGAAAATGCATAGTGATCGATGGCTATATTCTGCAAAATATATGACTACAAACATATGTTTGAAGAATATTTTACTAGAAAACACTCCAAACAATCAGAAGTAACTGGGTCATCTGGTCACATTTTTTCACTAAATGCTGCTTTTCAAAAGACTGAATGCTGCCTTGAGCTGCTGAAAAGTTTGAAAATGATCGATGTTAACTTAAAGAAAGCCACTTGGTTCAATATGAGCATTTTGTACAATGTTTAGCAAGAATAATTATACTTGAAAAGCATCTCGATGCAAATATGTGCACAACGTTGCTGTTTTCACTAATGCGCACAGAGCGAGGACATTACGAACTGAGCCCCCGTGTGTTGCAGGCTCTACGTGCACCCCGACTCGCCCTTCACTGGGGAGCAGCTCCTCAAGCAGAGTGTCTCCTTTGAGAAGCTCAAGCTCACGAACAACGAGCTGGATCAGCACGGACACGTGCACTTCTCAACCAGCACAGCGCCCTCCTCATGTCACACTCACTCACACCCCCTCCACACCACACTCCCTGTGTCACACTCACTCACACCCCCTCCACACCACACTCCCTGTGTCACACTCACTCACACCCCCTCCACACCACACTCCCTGTGTCACACTCACTCACACCCCCTCCACACCACACTCCCTGTATCACACTCACTCACACCCCCTCCACACCACACTCCCTGTGTCACACTCACTCACACCCCATCCACACCACACTCCCTGTGTCACACTCACTCACACAACCTCCACACCACACTCCTCATGTCACACTCACTCACACCTCCTCCACACCACACTCCCTGTGTCACACTCACTCACACCCCCTCCACACCACACTCCCTGTGTCACACTCACTCACACCCCATCCACACCACACTCCCTGTGTCACACTCACTCACACAACCTCCACACCACACTCCTCATGTCACACTCACTCACACCCCCTCCACACCACACTCCCTGTGTCAACACTCACTCACACTCCCTCCACACCACACTCCCTGTGTCAACACTCACTCACACCCCCTTCACACCACACTCCCTGTGTCACACTCACTCACACCCCCTTCACACCACACTCCCTGTGTCACACTCACTCACATCCCCTCCACACCACACTCCTCATGTCACACTCACTCACACCCCATTCACACCACACTCCTCATGTCACACTCACTCACACCCCCTCCACACCACACTCCTCATGTCACACTCACTCACACCCCCTTCACACCACACTCCCTGTGTCACACTCACTCACACCCCCTCTACACCACACTCCCTGTGTCAACACTCACTCACACCCCCTTCACACCACACTCCCTGTGTCACACTCACTCACACCCCCTCCACACCACACTCCCTGTGTCACACTCACTCACACCCCCTTCACACCACACTCCCTGTGTCACACTCACTCACACCCCCTCCACACCACACTCCCTGTGTCACACTCACTCACACCCCATCCACACCACACTCCCTGTGTCACACTCACTCACATCCCCTTCACACCACACTCCTCATGTCACACTCACTCACACCCCCTCCACACCACACTCCCTGTGTCACACTCACTCACACAACCTCCACACCACACTCCTCATGTCACACTCACTCACACCCCATTCACACCACACTCCTCATGTCACACTCACTCACACCCCCTCCACACCACACTCCCTGTGTCACACTCACTCACACCCCTTCACACCACACTCCCTGTGTCACATTCACTCACACCCCCTCCAAACCACACTCCCTGTGTCAACACTCACTCACACCCCCTTCACAGCACACTCCCTGTGTCACACTCACTCACATCCCCTCCACACCACACTCCTCATGTCACACTCACTCACCCCCCTTCACACCACACTCCCTGTGTCAACACTCACTCATACCCCCTCCACACCACACTCCTCATGTCACACTCACTCACATCCCCTTCAAACCACACTTCTCATGTCACACTCACTCACACCCCCTCCACACCACACTCCCTGTGTCACACTCACTCACACTCCCTCCACACCACACTCCTCATGTCACACTCACTCACACCCCCTTCACACCACACTCCTCATGTCACACTCACTCACTCCCCCTCCACACCACACTCCCTGTGTCACACTCACTCACATCCCCTCCACACCACACTCCTCATGTCACACTCACTCACACCCCCTCTACACCACACTCCCTGTGTCACACTCACTCACACCCCCTTCACACCACACTCCTCATGTCACACTCACTCACACCCCCTCCAAACCACACTCCCTGTGTCAACACTCACTCACACCCCCTTCACAGCACACTCCCTGTGTCACACTCACTCACATCCCCTCCACACCACACTCCTCATGTCACACTCACTCACCCCCCTTCACACCACACTCCCTGTGTCAACACTCACTCATACCCCCTCCACACCACACTCCTCATGTCACACTCACTCACATCCCCTTCAAACCACACTTCTCATGTCACACTCACTCACACCCCCTCCACACCACACTCCCTGTGTCACACTCACTCACACCCCCTCCACACCACACTCCTCATGTCACACTCACTCACACCCCCTTCACACCACACTCCTCATGTCACACTCACTCACTCCCCCTCCACACCACACTCCCTGTGTCACACTCACTCACACCCCCTCCACACCACACTCCTCATGTCACACTCACTCACACCCCCTCTACACCACACTCCCTGTGTCACACTCACTCACACCCCCTTCACACCACACTCCTCATGTCACACTCACTCACACCCCCTCCACACCACACTCCCTGTGTCACACTCACTCACACCCCCTCCACACCACACTCCTCATGTCACACTCACTCACATCCCCTCTACACCACACTCCCTGTGTCACACTCACTCACACCCCCTCCACACCACACTCCTCATGTCACACTCACTCACACCCTCTCTACACCACACTCCCTGTGTCAACACTCACTCACACCCCCTCCACACCACACTCCTCATGTCACACTCACTCACATCCCCTTCACACCACACTCCCTGTGTCACACTCACTCACACCCCCTCCACACCACACTCCCTGTGTCACACTCACTCACACCCCCTCCAAACCACACTCCCTGTGTCACACTCACTCACACCCCCTCCACAGCACACTCCTCATGTCACACTCACTCACACCCCCTCCACACACACTCCCTGTGTCACACTCACTCACACCCCCTTCACACCACACTCCTCATGTCACACTCACTCACCCCCTTCACACCACACTCCCTGTGTCACACTCACTCACACCCCCTCCAAACCACCCTCCTCATGTCACACTCACTCACACCTCCTCCACACCACACTCCCTGTGTCAACACTCACTCACACCCCCATCACAGCACACTCCCTGTGTCAACACTCACTCACACCCCCTTCACACCACACTCCCTGTGTCACACTCACTCACACCCCCTCCACACCACACTCCCTGTGTCACACTCACTCACATCCCCTTCACACCACACTCCCTGTGTCAACACTCACTCACACCCCCTCCACACCACACTCCTCATGTCACACTCACTCACACCCCCTTCACACCACACTCCCTGTGTCACACTCACTCACACCCCCTCCACACCACACTCCCTGTGTCACACTCACTCACATCCCCTTCACACCACACTCCCTGTGTCAACACTCACTCACACCCCCTCCACACCACACTCCTCATGTCACACTCATTCACACCCCCTTCACACCACACTCCCTGTGTCACACTCACTCACACCCCCTCCACACCACACTCCTCATGTCACACTCACTCACACCCCCTTCACACCACACTCCCTGTGTCAACACTCACTCACACCCCCTCCAAACCACACTCCTCATGTCACACTCACTCACACCCCCTTCACACCACACTCCCTGTGTCAACACTCACTCACACCCCCTCCACACCACACTCCCTGTGTCACACTCACTCACACCCCATCCAAACCACACTCCTCATGTCACACTCACTCACACCCCCTTCACACCACACTCCCTGTGTCACACTCACTCACACCCCCTTCACACCACACTCCCTGTGTCAACACTCACTCACACCCCTTCCAAACCACACTCCTCATGTCACACTCACTCACACCCCCTTCACAGCACACTCCCTGTGTCAACACTCATTCACACCCCCTCCAAACCACACTCCTCATGTCACACTCACTCACACCCCCTTCACACCACACTCCCTGTGTCACACTCACTCACACTCCCTCCACACCACACTCCTCATGTCACACTCACTCACACCCCCTCCACACCACAATCCCTGTGTCACACTCACTCACACCCCCTTCACACCACACTCCTCATGTCACACTCACTCACACCCCCTCCACATCACACTCCTCATGTCACACTCACTCACACCCCCTTCACACCACACTCCCTGTGTCACACTCACTCACACCCAATTCACAGCACACTCCTCATGTCACACTCACTCACACCCCCTTCACACCACACTCCCTGTGTCACACTCACTCACACCCAATTCACAGCACACTCCTCATGTCACACTCACTCACACCCCCTCCACACCACACTCCTCATGTCACACTCACTCACCCCCCTTCACACCACACTCCCTGTGTCACATTCACTCACACCCCCTCCAAACCACACTCCCTGTGTCAACACTCACTCACACCCCCTTCACAGCACACTCCCTGTGTCAACACTCACTCATACCCCCTCCACACCACACTCCCTGTGTCACACTCACTCACACTCCCTCCACACCACACTCCTCATGTCACACTCACTCACACCCCCTTCACACCACACTCCTCATGTCACACTCACTCACACCCCCTCCACACCACACTCCCTGTGTCACACTCACTCACACCCCATCCAAACCACACTCCTCATGTCACACTCACTCACACCCCCTTCACACCACACTCCCTGTGTCACACTCACTCACACCCCCTTCACACCACACTCCCTGTGTCAACACTCACTCACACCCCTTCCAAACCACACTCCTCATGTCACACTCACTCACACCCCCTTCACAGCACACTCCCTGTGTCAACACTCATTCACACCCCCTCCAAACCACACTCCTCATGTCACACTCACTCACACCCCCTTCACACCACACTCCCTGTGTCACACTCACTCACACCCCCTCCACACCACACTCCTCATGTCACACTCACTCACACCCCCTCCACACCACACTCCCTGTGTCACACTCACTCACACCCCCTTCACACCACACTCCTCATGTCACACTCACTCACACCCCCTCCACATCACACTCCTCATGTCACACTCACTCACACCCCCTTCACACCACACTCCCTGTGTCACACTCACTCACACCCAATTCACAGCACACTCCTCATGTCACACTCACTCACACCCCCTTCACACCACAC